ACAGATGTTAAAATGTAAATGAAAATAAATGTTTCCCAAGAACAAGTGCTTGCCCTTAAAAAGTGAGATGTATTTATTCTTCAATCTTATTCTCTTTTCTTAAAATTATTCTGTTTATGACTCCTACGAATGCATTATTCCAAGAGTTAATCAGCACTACCATTACTACTCCACAAGGAGAATTAGGTGAGTGCAGCTTCAAGACTTATTCCAAATCATTTGCTGCTCCTGAGCCATTTCCATAGAGAAATTCTGGATTTCTGCTCATCATTTGTATCATTTGTTTATAAAATTGTGACAGAACATTAAATTTCCAATTAAGTCTGAAACTAAAAGAGGAAAACTTTTCCTTCCTGTAAAATGGAAAATACTCCTGTCTTCAGTCAATTTATTTGACATTGCTTTTTAGAAGTAGAATCATGTCTCAGGCATCCAGGGTTTAATACTACAAATTTTTCTGTAACATGTGACATTGGCAATATCTCATACTGTGGAAGACATAAGAAAGGACATAACAGATCATTACAGAAAAAATACATGCTAGTTTGGAAAAATCACTTAATCCCTGCACCATGCTTCCTTGGCTGACACTGGGACACACCTAGTAAAGATTTAAGGACATGCGAGAAAAGGAGATCTTTAGAAGGAATGGTTTCATGAAGCCTCTGCTCACCCAGGAAACAAAATAAACTGATGGTATTACAGGGTGAAGTATTTGCCTTTCAGATGGACAGGGTTGGATGAACCTTGGCAGGAATATAAATTGTGCCAGAAGTTGTGGGCATTACCACTGCTCCCATTTTGCAAATAAAGAACTAATGGTTGAGAGCAGTTACTAGTTCAAAATTACAATTAATAAATGTCAAGTAGATACATGTTCACTAGCACAGTGCCTCGAACACAATGAGAGAGAGAGATTTCTTTAAAAAAAAAGATTTATTTATTTGAGAGAGAGAGAGAGAGAGTGCATGGGGCAGCATGGGGAGGAGCAGAGGAAGAGGGAGAGAGAACCTCAAGCAGACTCAGTGCTAAGCATGGAGTGCTACACGGGATCAATCTCATGATCCCAAGACCATGACCCAAGCTGAAACCGAGTCAGATGCCCAATGGCCATCTGTGCCACCCACGTGCCCTGAGATTTCCTTATTCTTACAATTATCTTAGAATGTCAGTATTATTTAATATAGAGTTAAGAGTAAATTAGACATGAATTGGCTAGTTAGAAGAGCCAATGATGATGATTTAAGCCTCAGTTGGGGGTCTTAATGGGATTAACCTTTCCACATCATATACTGCTTCTGAATAAAGATGATCTCCCCTTGCCTTGGACATGCCAGGAACATGGAAGCCACTCCTTTCATGATACTATGTTGAATTTCACTAGTTCAAAAATTTCTTATAACAGACTGAAGTCATCTTGGAGATCCATTCATTTTTTTCTACATGCTAGTTAGTCCTTAAAGGACCTGGCTTCTGGACTCCTCCTTGTCTGGTCTCCATATTTTGGACATACCTTTGTTACTGTTGATTTGTTGTTTTTTTTTTTTTCATTATGCTAAACACAACAGCTCAGTTGCTGTTGATTTGTTGTTTTTTTTTTTTACATTATGCTAAACACAACAGCTCAGGGGCAGTTTGGTATGAAGCATGATACGATTATAATTTTGATATGGATGTCAACCATACTAATGCCTTCTGGGGCAATTTTTTCCTTGTTATAAAGTGGGTTATCCTCTAAGCCATTGGGCTGTCCAATTCCACCACCACTGCCCAAGCAGATGATAACTTGGCATCCTCTTTAGAGCTCAGGATGGTCTCTCTACCTTCCTGGCTGTACCCTCTGCCATGTCCTGAGGCCCTGCCACACCATGAGTTTGCTGCCCCTCAATTCTGCTCTGTGGTTTGAGGGAGTTCAAAGGTGGGATTCAAGGAAGTCCTAGGAGCCATTGATCATGAAGAAACTGGGGACTGTCCACCAAACCTTGAAGAGACAGTTGATAGAAACATGGATATCCAGAGTGCTTCTGATGGAAGTGAGGAATGTGTTCTTGAAAACAGGAGGAAAGGTTATCCTTGTCATAAAGTGGCAGAGACCTTACAAAAAAAAAATAAAAATAAAGTGGGTTATGCTGCTAGCTAATATTAAATTATGGCAAGAAAATACTTGTAATCATACTTGTTTCCATATTAAGAATGATCAAGTCATGTTATCCCTTTTGTATACATGCACACTAATTTTTTTAGCCTACTTATAAGATTTAATGTGAGGTAAGTGACTAGTGTTAATCACATCTCCAAGCAATGGGTGGAATTTATTTTTGGAGAGATAAGATGGTATCATGGTTGAACATGTGCACCCTGGCACCAACTTCTTGGGTTGGATCCGCCCACTACTAACAAATAGTGTGAATGTTAAAGAATTGCTTGAACTCTATGTGTGTCACTTTCTGATCTAAAAAACAGATATAATAATAGCTGCCTCACAGATCTGTCATAAGACTAACATATGTTAATGCATTTTTTAAAAAAGTAGTTTGGCATTGTCTTGGACTTTAAAAAAAAAAATGTCTCAGATTGGTTCCCCTCCAAGAAAATGGAAGTCTCTCTAGAGAGAAAATATCAAACATAGACTCTGTCAAATGTAGACCACATCTGCTATTTGGCTTTAAAAAGTACAAGCTATTATCACCTGTTGCTCTCATGTTCTATGTGTTACTTCCTTTAAAATTCACCTCAGTTTGGGGGCACCTGGGTGGCTCAGTCCATTAAGTGTCTGACTCTTGGTTTCAACTCAGGTCATGATCTCGGGGTCATGATCTCAGGGTCGTGAGATCAAGCCCAAGGTGGGTTCCACACCCAGTGGGGAGTCTATTTGAGATTCATTCCCTCCCTTTGCCCCTCCCCTGCAATTGTGCACATTCTCTCTCTTTCTCTCTCTCTCTCTCAAAATAAAAATAAATAAATGGAATTCATGTCACTCCCATAAGAAAAGAATAATTATTCCCACTTTCTGGATAAAAACACTGAAACTCAAATAATTTAAGTCACCTGGAAAAAGACAGGACTATTAAGTGGTAGTCCAACCCAGCTAGGCCAAAATTTATAAATTGCCTAGTTTAGGCATAAGGTCAGCTGGTGATTATTTGAGCCACAGCTTGGCGGCTGGTGGAAGAGTTATCCCAGGACTGGTAAGAAAACCAGAGAATGCCTATCCCAGTTCGTGCTAGGGACCCTCCCAGCATCGGTCTGGACACCTTTTCCAGGTCATGCAAATGCCTTCATCTAGATTTCTAAAACAGTCTCTTTTTAACTGATCTTCAATAATCTCTCTTCAAAATGCTTCAGGTGAAGAAGCAGAGTAAATTCTGAAAGAAATAATTAAAAAATCATGTTGGGAAATGCAGATCTCAATTACACATCAAAAAGAATAAAATATTGTTGGATTTTTTTTTTTAATCTCAAAGATGGATGTCTGTAGTTACTGTCATCAGAGAATACCCCTTGCTTTTTGTTGAGAGAGCCCCTGGCTGTCATCCCTTTTTGGAATTCACCTGCAGTTGCTTCCCCTTCAGATTATCAGCCAGCATCCAGTAATTCATCCATATGGGAATGCAAAGGCTTCGCTGTCTGCCCAATCTGGGGCAGCTTTGAAGGGTTATCCCATCACAGGACTGGGGGTTGGCTGATACTTTCAGAGAAACATCATCTCTGTTCCAGTTCTTCCTCTGCCCAATCTTTCTACCTTTCCACAGATGCTGATCGGAAAAACATTTCTACTAGAACTTCTGCATGCTAATCTCCACCTCAGGGTTTCCCAGGGACCCAAACCAACCAGAGCAACAGTGCATTTCCTAAGAAAACCTTTTACCAAACTAGCTCTGTGATCTGTGACCAAATATTTTGTGGGCCACCAGTGGAGTGGTGTAGATTTGGAGCAGCACTTTATTTAAATACATTTTTCATTTCATTTTGATTTTAGTTTTATATATATATATATATATATATATATATATATATATATATATATATGTCAGACTGGCTTAATTGGCTGCCTAATGCAACTTTAACTTTTTGGTACATGAAGGCTGTTTCTGCTTCTAATTTTTACAAATGCCAGACAACCTGACTTTCCTTATTTTTTTTTTTTTAACTTCTAACTGGATCTCAGTCATCCTTAAAACATAGAGTTTTGAAATCTTTCCTGACATTGTATAGTAGAGAGGTTTGGAAATGATGATATTCGCATCTCCTATCCCCTATAAAAATATTCAGACGTTGTAAATCCAATTTAGTTTACATTTCTTTTTATCTGGAATTTCCATCGTATTGAAATTTGAGCCTTGTGGCAGATGATGAAATTTATTTCTCGCTTCTGAATTTATGCTTAGCTATAAAAGAAAATCCTCTGTGGTCTGATCTTTCCTGATTCTTAACCACTTACTCCCATTATTATGTATATCAAACCACCATAGGAAGAAGAATTTGTTCTTAGCCGTTTTAAAAATTTTGTGATAAGAAGACATAGAGTGGATTTTAATGGGTTGACATAAGCAGAAGGCAAAGGCTCAACCTTCTAATCTTCTAATATGAGAGCTAATTACGTGGAGGCTGATGGCCAGATGTCCTCTCTTCCCCTTAGGCACAGAGCAACGATAAGTAGGTTTAAGTTCAACATGGAGATTCAGAAATCACACGCAGAAAGTCTCCAAGCAGTCAGGCTATTCTCAAAGATGACTGCATGTACAATTCACAAAAAGAGAGCAGCCAACCCTTTGCAGCTAATCCTCATTTAAAGGAGATTCTGTATTCAACATGAGACAAAGTAAAAAAGAGTTGATGCTTAGGAAAATGTGTGGGGGCTGTTCCATAAAATGGTTACTGGGAATTTCTAAATATAATTCATGATACATTATATTGGTTCAAATTTTAATGCATTGGGTACTTATTGAGTTCCCATGTGTTAAAATTGATGCTAGGGGACATGACACGTTTCCTTTCAAGATGGCGGATAATCTCCCTTCAGAGTTTGATGTGATCGTAATAGGGACGGGTTTGCCTGAGTCCATCATTGCAGCTGCATGTTCAAGAAGTGGCCAGAGGGTTCTGCATGTTGATTCAAGAAGCTACTATGGAGGAAACTGGGCCAGTTTTAGCTTTTCAGGAATACTATCCTGGCTAAAGGAATACCAGGAAAATAGTGACATTGTGAATGAAGGCCCAACATGGCAAGAGCAGATTCTTGAAAATGAAGAAGCCATTGCTCTTAGCAGGAAGGATAAAACCATTCAACATGTGGAAGTGTTTTGTTATGCCAGGGGGGATCTCTCTATTTCCTGGATCTGAATGCCTGTTTCCCTTCCCAGATTAGGAACGTTTTCAGGCTGGAGGTGTCCTTAGGTCTAAGTTGAGTCTCTTCAAGATTCCATCAAAATCCTAGAGGAGAACACAGGCAACACCCTTTTTGAACTTGGCCACAGTAACTTCTTGCAAGATACATCTATGAAGGCAAGAGAAACAAAAGCAAAAATTAACTATTAACTTCATCAAGATAAAAAGCTTTTGCACAGCAAAAGAAACAGTCAACGAAACTAAAAGACAACCTACAGAATGGGAGAAGATATTTGCAAATGACCTATCAGATAAAGGACTAGTGCCAAGATGTATAAAGAACTTATTAAAGTCAACAGCAAAGAAGCAAACAATCCAATCATGAAATGGGCAAAAGACATGAACAGAAATCTCACAGAGGAAGATATAGACATGGCCCACAAGCACATGAGAAAATGCTCTGCATCACTTGCCATCAGGGAAATACAAATCAAAACCACAATGAGATACCACCTCACACCAGTGAGAATGGGGAAAATTAACAAGGCAGGAAACAACAAATGTTGGAGAGGATGCGGAGAAAGGGGAACCCTCTTGCACTCCTGGTGGGAATGTGAACTGTTGCAGCCACTCTGGAAAACTGTGTGGAGGTTTCTCAAAGAGTTAAAAATAGATGTGCCCTACGACCCAGCAGTTGCATTGCTGGGGATTTACCCCAAAGATACAGAGGCAGTGAAATGCAACGACACCTCCACCCCGATATTTCTAGCAGCAATGTCCACAATAGCCAAACTGTAGAAGGAACCTCGGTGTCCATCGAAAGATGAATGGATAAAGAAGATATGGTATATGTATACAATGGAATATTACTCAGCCATTAGAAATGACAAATACCCACCATTTGCCTCGACGTGGATGGAACTGGAGGGTATTATGTTGGGTGAAATAAGTCAATCGTAGAAGGGCAAACATTATATGGTCTCATTCATTTGGGGAATATAAAGAATAGTGAAAGGGAATAAAGGGGAAAGGAGCAAAAATGACTGGAAAATATCAGAAAGGGAGACAGAACATTAGAGACTCCTAACTGGGGCACGAATAAGGGGTGGTAGAAAGGGAGGTGGGCGGGGGTGGGGGTGACTGGGTGAAGGGCAGTGAGTAGCGCACTTGATGGGATGAGCACTGGGTGTTATGTTATATGTTGGAAAATTGAACTCCAATAAAAAAATAAAAATAAATAAAAATAAAAAATAAAAAAAAATTGATGCTAGGGAAAAGCATAGAGTTAGAATAGCCTCTTAAGATTTTTTCTGCAGTGTAATGTTCAATTCCAGGGTCCATTTAAAAATCAAATCATGGAGCCCAGTTCTCTTCTACATATAAAACCAAAATAACTGTTGTCCAGAAGTCATGTGGAAAATATTGCCAGGTCTGACTGCATATTTAAACTGTCATGATGAATATAAATATGTAACATCTAAAGAGCAAGAATTAGTGGAGCATAATGGAGCTTATGCAAACCAACACAAAATATCCAATAGAAAAATTGCTAAAAATGAGAACAAAACAGAAATATGTAAATTACCAGAAAAATTAGCAAATTTCTAAGGCAATATGAAAAATAGACCCTTGGGGGCACCTCGGTGGTTCAGTTAGTTGAGTGGGTGACTCTGGATTTCAGCTCAGGTCATGATCTCAGGGTCTTGAGATTGAGCTCCACATATGGCTCCGCACTGGGTGTGGTGCCTGCTTGAGATTCTCAATCCTTCTCCCTCTGCTCCTCCCCGCATGATCTCTCTCTGTCTCTCTTAAAAAAAAAAAATCATACACACACATACACACACACACCTCAAATGTGGTATAGCATAGAATATTATTATTTAGCCTTTAAAAGGAAGGAAATCCTGTTACATTCTACAACACCTCTGAACCTTGAAGACATACTAAGTAAGACAAGCCAGTCAGAAAGAAGACAAATACTGTGTGATTCTAACTTATTTGAGGTATCTAAAATGGTCAAATTGATAGAAAGAGAAAGTAGAATGGTGGTTGCCAAGGGCTGGGAAAAGGGGAAATGGGACATTATTTAATGGGTACAGAGTTTCACACACACACACACACACACACACACACACACACACACAAAACGTTCTGGAGATATGTTGTAGAACAATGAACATACTTAACTATTAGTGAGCTATATGCTTAAAAATGGTTAAGGTATACGTTTTATATGTTTTTAGCATGATTATAAGTTTTTTTTAAACCGCATACACACAAATCATTAGAATTATCTAACGGAGGTGAGGATTTTGGAAAGTAGATTTTTTTTCCTTTTAGATGTATTATTTGATACAGTATTTTAAAATTTCAATTTGGTAATATTTATTGTTTAAAATTTGTATTTCATTTTGTGTAAAAAGTCTCCTAGAATTTATCATATAACCTTTCTCACAAAAGCAAACAAGCATAAACCATCTATAGAATGGACTTTTATCAAAATACTATCAGTATACATTTATCAACAAAATAAAGTTAGCTGATGTAACAGATAAACCTCAAATTTCAGTAGCTTAATACAATAAAAGTTTATTTCTCAAACATAAATCCAACTGGTTATTCCCAATTAGCATTAAAGATATAGGCTTCCAGTTATGGAATAAATAAATCATTCACAATAATGACTCAATTCAATACTGAATCACTCAATAAATTCAATATTTACTATTGAGTTATTAAAAAATTTCTTTCTGTAAATAAATCATGGGAATAAAAGGTATAATACAGAAAAGAAAAGAGTCAATGGTATTATAATAGTGTTGTACGGTAGCTACACTTGTGGTGAGCATAACATAACATGTAGAGATGTTGAATCACTGTGTTGTCCACTGGAAACTAATGTCACTTCATGTGCCAACTATAGTCAAAAAAAAAGAAAAAAAAGAAAAGAAGAAGAAGAAAGAAATGTGCTCAGGCAGTCAGAGACTCAGGCTGTGGAAGAAAAACTTTCCCACCTTAATCACTTGGCTTCCAAGGTCATTTTCAGCTGACAGCAAGAAAAGGAGAGTGAAGATTTGGAGCACGGGAGGCTTCTATGGCCCACGCAGAGCGCGGTGCACCGCCTTGGGGCACCCAAGCATGGTCCACTGACAGCAGCAGCCCTTCAATGGTGATATAAATCCAATGTGCAAGTCTCATTTCAGATTGAGTCAGAATCTATATTTTAATAAAACCCCCAAGTGAATGACATTCATATTAACATGTGAGAAGCCATGCTTTAGACAAGAGATAGGCCATGTTGTTGGCCAAATAGAACTTGTTACACTACAAAAGATTATTATCTTTCAGGATTAGGATAAGGGAGAGGATATGAAGAGTTTCACAAATGATTTCCTATGTTTCCTTCTGTTGCACTGGACATGTCATATTTTTCACATGCAAGTTATTGTTTTAAAAGCACAAGAAATGACTATCTTGCCATCTTAGCATTCACTGGATCCCTGCTGATGGATTACTCTGTAGCACATCTGGATATATAAGATTTTAGCTTATGGAAATAAACACATTTAATATTTCTGTGTTCAGGTTTAAATAATACTATTCTGGAAAAACAGTATCTTCAATGATGTTGGACAAATTGTATGCAGGATTATGAAAAAAATATTCTGGTAAAGATGGTGAAAATTTGTTCCAACTAGAGCAGGTAAATTTGCTTCTCTGACCATTTTGAAAGAATATGAACACATTGGCAGCTCAGTTTCTTCATCTTTACATTGGAAATACACACACACACACACATACATTAACACACATGTATTCCTATGATTCATGGAGGTTTTGAATAATCAATAGAATCATCCCAAAGATGAATTTTGTGAAGATAGTTGACAAGTTTCACTACGATTTTAATGTTATAATGGCATTTTGAATAAGCAGGATCACTCTGGTGGTACCATCATAGTTGGAGGTTTGCCAGATTTAAATATTAATTTTCACAACCAAATTAAAAATGAGGGTTTTCCTAAATCCATTGTGAATACACCTAAAACAAAACAGTATTAGAGTGCCCCCTGCTGACACAGGGCCCCCGCAGCTGACACTCAGATGCAACCATTTTCATGTGGTTGAACCTTGACAGTAATGCCCCGATTAATTAGAAGAGTTTTACATTATTTTCTTTATAAATGCTTCTTCTTTTTTCAGTCAGTAACATATAATTGGTTGATTTTGTAAAACATTAAGTAAGAGGACTTTTTCTTGACACCGGCATCAAAAAAAAAAAAAAAAAAGAAAGAAAAAAAGAGGGCAGCTATTTCACTTATAGTGCTTGAATTTTTTTAAGGTGAGTCTTTTCCTTTTTTCTGAGAAGATCTCTTGAGATTATTTGCCATCAAGTAGAATCCGAAAATTTCAAATTTGAAAGAGATCTGGGATTTCAACTGTTTTAAAAGTGTGGTCTCCATGAAAAATGACAAATACCTACTATTTGCTTGGATGTGGATGGAACTGGAGGATATTATGCTGAATGAAGTAAGTCAATCGGGGAAGGACAATCATCATATGGTTTCATTCATTCAGGGAATATAAAAAATAGTGAAGGGGATTATTGGGAAAAGGAGAGAAAATGAGTGGGAAAAATCCAAGAGGGTGACAAAACATGAGAGACTCCTAATTCTGGGAAATGAACAAGGGGTAGTGGAAGGGGAGGTAGGCAGGGGGACGGGGTGACTGGGTGATGGGCACTGAGTGGGGCACTTGACGGGGTGAGCACTGGGTGTTGTATTATATGTTGGCAAATAGAACTCCAACAAAAAATAAACAAAGAAATAAAAAATAAAAAATAAAAGTATGGTCCCCAATGAAACATCAGAAAAGAAAGCATTTGCTAGGGTTCATACAGCCAGACTGTATTAGGTTGAGATAGGACCCAGTTGATGGGTGATGTCCAGCCCATTGATTTTTCCACTGTTCACTATTTATTAGAATAATTTAGTTGA